AGGAATGCTGATCAATGAACTTCTGCAATTGTTCAAAATAGTATGATTTTATCAAACTGGTGTTCAAATACCAATTTAAAAGATTATTTTTAATACCTGATCATCTGTTTTCCAGATGTCTATCTTCATTTCTTCCAGTATCCCAAAATGCGGAGGTGGGAAGAAAGGCTGTTTTTTGCTATGATTTGAGGGTTTTGCTTAAACTTTATGCAAGAACTACGCTACAGATATTATTAATGCAGTTCTCCCAAAATAAAACATGATGGGAAGATTAGAATTGTATGTTGGTTCAGATAAGTTATAACTGTTTTTACAATTACCTCTGATTACCTCTTCCTCTCTACATGCTTAAAACAAAGTGTATCACTCAGCCAACTCTGTCACACATATCTAGGCAGAGTGATTTCCTTTTTCTTCTAAATGCAGAGAAAAAGCTAAGAAAAAGAAAAGTTCACAAATTACGATTCCCATAGCTTGTATACAGGCTACATCTCTTCAAATTGCCTCTGAACTTGTTTAGAAATTTAAACCCTAAAGGAATGTTTTGAACAAAATAAGTCTGGATTTTACATGCGGTCCACTAATAGCATCAGTCATCCGTTAAATTACTTTAACAAGTAAGCAATGAAAGTGCTTTTGATAGATCAAATATCTATTACCAGACATCACCTAAAGACTTTACAATAATATTCATATTTTTAAATGCCTGCACTAGCTTGTAGGCATTTCCCTGAAATCCTACTGTTCACTGTAATTAGCTTCTGTATTTTTTCCTAAATGCACTGTAATTTAAAACCATTCCAGAGGAGTTTTTCATGCCACGGCAAGGACACAAAACCTGAGGGTGTACTGATTCTTCAAAAATAATTTGTTCAAAATAAATAATTGCACACTTCTCAGATACAGTTTGACATTAATACATGTCCACAAATAGTGACTTGCTGGTCTTAACCTGCAGAGAGAAAGGTTGAGCCTAAGAGAATTTATTCACAGTAAATTTTTCATTCTGTGTTACTTATGGCCACTAAGAGCAGCACATTTGAATGAGGAAGGGCTCTAAGTTGGGCTGATAATTATGAACAGAAGTCTTTCTGGGGTTTTTCTTGTTCTGTCACAGTTGATTTAAGAGTTTTTTTAAAAAAGGCAATTCCAGTCAAATCATTAATTATTTAAAGTGCACCACACCCCCACTCAGAATGGCAGTGAAATGCATATTTCTGCTTTTGAATTTTTAAAATTTAAGTTTCTGCATAAATTTGCGACCACCTTCCTCATTATACCCACAGAAAGAGTTTTTCTAGTATTTGAAAAGCAATCAGGGAGAATGCACAACAATAGCTGGAAAAGAAAAACTCCCACTGGAAACGAAGTCGTTCTACAAAAGCCTGTGATGCTATTCTACTTTTTAAATTTCTCTTCTTCATGAATTTTTTATTTAATCATTTTCTTCTAGCCATCAATCTAATTTTTCTTTGTTCCTCACAGTTTTCCTTTATTTGGCTAAGCAATTATTACAAAGTATGCAGTTAGCTTGCAGCTATGGAATGTTTCATTTCAAGGACACTTTCAAGCATTTTAAAGCTTCATTAAGACACGCAACAGAACCAGCATGAATTCAATGGGCTCCTGCTCTTGCAGCTCTTTGGGGGCAGCCTCAGGCTGTAATCTCACCATACCGAATGTGTGTGAGTACCATAGGCATCAAAATAAGAAAAAAGCAGGCACTATGCTTGTTTGTTATTTAATAATCAATTCATGCCAGCTTCTGCTGAGACAGTTTCTCACATGCTGTGTGTGTCCCCTCCTTTCCCCAGGTAAAATAAGGCAGCGTGGACACCAGCTTTACTGGGAGCAGTTAGTGCCACTCTTCCCATCTTCCTGCAATATCCAAGTCCTTCTGCAAGATACAATCAGGGTGGCTGAGAGATGGAAAAAGCAGAATATAGACATGTTCTGGCCCATGTGAATTACTCAGGGAACATTTGCTTTCAGGTGGCAACTGTCAGACCCAGCTACAAGAGAAGCTGCAACTGTACTGCATGTATAAGGTGACGACAGCCAATGGCAACAATGATGATATATCTGTTGGGAAGGGGGATCTAGAGTCCCGCTGGCAAGATATGGTCATATACTTAGATGAACAATACATCATATATTCCCAAATACTTAAAAAATTCAGAGGATTCCCTGCTGCTTTCCATGTGCCCACTTAAATCTGTAACCAGGTGATACCCTTCCTCTCCAAGAGGGCAACTCTACAATTATTAATTCAATGTGAAGGCACATTTTCAAACACCAGGAGGGTAGAATGGGTTTCTCACATGGGTTTACATACCAAATGATTTTTCAAGGTTTCTTTTCTCCCTTCTCCACCCTCTCCTCTAGGGAACTCATCAGTCACTAAGCCTTAGGACAGAAATGCATACAGATCTGTAGCCAGAAATCATCCGCAGTGGACATTTAACAGATCGGGCCAGACAGTACGCTCCATGCTGCTGCCATGTCTAACATCTGTAAGCTCTTCTCAGATTTGAGCATTTTCTTAAACTCCCACAGTGGTACAAGGCATCAGTGGAGCAGTCTCACATCAATAATTTGTGACATAAATATGAAAATAATGTCTTTGTCAAATTGAGTAAAAGTTATATTCTTTTTATTAGATTATTTGAGGTTAGTTTTTAAAAAGTATATATTTCAGTTTAGCTATCACACAGAATCAGTAAACAAGGAAAAGAAGGGAAATATTCCAATGTTACAGACAGATATACCTCTTTACCCACCTAGCAATTTGTATGTCCACATACTACTCACTAACATGTACATGCACCAACCAGTG